ATATATATATATATATTTAGTTTTAATTAACGTTTAAACAAAAAATACTGCAAAAGTACATTTTCAGATTAATTTTTAAAAAGTAACGGAAAAGTAATGAAAAGTTATCTTTCGAGTAACGGTAACTCGTTACTTTTTTTACTTGGTAACGAGTAACTGTAACTTGTTACTTTTAAAAAGTAACTTTCCATTCCCCCTCCCCCCTGTACAAATTTATATATGATTTTATATTTTAAAAAATTATATATGCAGGAAGAAAGAGAGATAGTAATATAATTTTATGTCATAAATAATTATATTGTATGTAGATACTAAAGTTGTGTTTTTAGCAAGGACGAGATCAGCCTGATTCAAATATAGCTGCTAAAATCGGAGCAGATGAAGATACCGAAAAGCAAATAATGGTAGAAAAATATAATTCTCACATCCAAGATTTTATAACTAAATTACCGGGTGTACATTCGAAAAATTTGCGTGTTCTATTAAATAAAGGGAAATCATTAGATCATCTTATCAAGCTGTCACAAGTACGTAAAAACAATGATTAAGAGACTTCAACTCTCTATAATAATTTTTTCTTACAATTTGTAAGTAAAAATATTAAAAATTAATATTTTTTTATAAATAGGAAGAACTAAAAGAAATACTTGAAAATAAAAATGATGCTGAATTATTATATAAAGCTCTACACGAGAAATGTTTATCAACAGATGAAGGTCCGGGAACTAGCAAAAGTGTTTCTAAAGTACGTGGTAAGAGACTTTTCTCTAGAGTAAAAAAATAATGTAAAATTTTAAATATTTTTAGTACAATATTTAAAATGTTAATAACAAAATGTTATTGCTATTTAATAAATATATTTTGTAAAATATATATTCGAAAATATAGTTACATCATTATATCATCTTTTATGCGAGAAAATGTATATATAAAAAGAAATATAGATAAATGTATAAAAATCAATATAGATAAATTTATTAGATAATAATCATAAATATTAGAGATTTTAATGTATACAGTATTTTGATGTGTAATGTATTAGCGCCGAGACACTACCATATCTCCAGATATAAAGATGTAATGATCATATCTCATAAAATGATTTAAAAAATTATTAATAGAATTCCGGATTAAAATTTAACTTCTATTTACAGAAAATCATTTATAAATTACACCTGAAAATTTGTCAATACATTATTTGCTTCAATTTAATCGATATCTTTTTCCAATAATACTTACATTGCTTCAGTAAGATTCTCAATATCACTTTCTTCATCGCTGTTATTAGTTGCATCAAGATTGTATAAAAATGAGTCATTTTCAGACATAGGAAAATAATATCTGGAATAAATAATAAAATACTTAACATAATTTCTTTTTTTATGTAAATTGTATACACAATTACAATTATATTTACTCTGGCTGATCCCAAACGTTTTGTGTAGCAATTTTACAATGTTGTTGAATCTTCATATGTTCCAAGACATTGTCCGATTTTGTTTCGCAGAAAATACATCGTTTTAGTTGAATTTGTCTTTTTATATAATTGACTATTTTCACCTGCAATTTGATAATATGTTACAGAAAAGGGGGACATATTATTTAAAATATTATATATATATATA